AATTAAAAAGCTTCTGCACAACCAAGGCAACAATAAAAGGAGCAAACAGACAACCTACAGCAAGAGTCCTCAATCTTTTTGGCGTTACAGACCAGTTTCATGGAAGACAATTTTTCCATGGATTTGGGGAGTGGATATGGGGTGCCATGGGGTGGGGGTTTTATGGAGCTCAGGTAGTAATGCCTGGCTCATTTCCTAACAGGCCATGGACTACTATCAAGCCACGACCCAGGAGCTGGGGACTGCAGACCTACAGAATGGGAGAAAATATTCCCATGCTATACATCTGATAAAAGGCTAATAACCAGAATCTTCAAAGAACTCAAACAAATCAGCAAGAAAAAAAAAAAAATCAAACAACCTCATTACAAAGTGGTCAAAAGACATGAACATAAAATTTTCAAAAGAAGATAAACTAATGGCCTACAAACATGAAAAAATGCTCGACATCAATGAGCAATGGATATCAAAACAACAATGAAAGATCACCTAACTCCAGTAAGAAGGGCTTTTATCAAAAAGTCTCAAAACAATAGATGCTGGTGTGAATGTGGAGAGAATGGAGCACTCATACATTGTTGGTGGGACTGCAAACTAGAACAACCTCTATGGAAAATAGTATGAAGATGCTTCAAAGAACTAAAAGTAGACTTATCATTTGGTCCAGCAATCCCACTACTGTGTATATACACAAAGGAAAAAAAAGGTCACTTTATCAAAAAGACACCTGAATTCAAATGTTTATTACAGCACAATTCACAATTGCAAAGATGTGGAATTAATCCAAGTGCCCATCGATACACAAGTGGATCAATAAAATATGGTATATGTATACCATGGAATACTACTCAGCCATAAAAAAGTGACGAACTATTAACAATACCTTTTGTAACAACCTGGATGGAATTGAAGACCACTCTTCTAAGTATCACAAGAATGAAGAAACAAACACCACATGTACTCAGTATTAAATTGGATCTAACTAATCAGTATTCATGTGCACAGATGGAAGTAAAAGTCAACAGAAATCAAGCAGGAGTGAGAAGAGATGAGGAGATGGGTGAAATCACACCTAAGGGGTCCAATGTACACTATCTGGGTGATAGGCACATTTTTAACTTTGACTCAAGAAGTACAAAAGCAATCCATGTGATCAAAACATTTGGACCCTGCTAATAGTCTGAAATTTAAAAAAAAATTAGCATCCAACATATGTATCCATGGAGATCTTCACAAAACTGGCACAGAAAGTTTTTAGTGAAGAACAATATTTGAAGAATTTTATAAGTTTTAAAAAAATGACTCTTACATAGAGACTAACCAAAAACTAATTCAAAAGTAATGTTCTTTTATGACAGATGTGTAATTAGCACTAAATAACTATCTATAGATCCATTAGACTTAATATATCACAATTTTCCAATGATAGAGCTCAGGCATGAGAAAGATCATCTAATCCAACCATGCCTTTCTGCAATTGAGGAAACCGAGGCTCCAAGAGGAGATGCGAGACAATCAGTTTAATAATCATGGTCAGAATCTCCCTTCTTTTAGGCTAGGAACCACTCACATGTCCCAGCTCAGGGCAAAGAAAGGCAGACAGTCCATAAGAAAGTCTGTTATATCTCCTTTTGAAAACAAAAATGAGCTAGTACATCAAGTCCTAGAGTTAGAAAGGGATGGAAAGACTTCTTGGGAAAGCTTGTTCCCCGGACTACCTAAGTCTGTGGGTGGGTTTGTCCCCTGCTTAGGTGACTCTTACGTTCATCAGGTTTGAGAGGCACGAACTCAGAAAACATTTTAAAGATAAGTGATGGAATTTCCTGAAATTTTTAAGAAGAATTTTTTTTGTTCATGAAAAATAACCCTAAATATTCAAATTATGCAACTAATTTTTATTTATTCATTCAACATGTGCCAAGCAGTATACTCTCCTCTCTTGAAATAGGGAGAGAAAGAGAGGGGTGTGTGTGTGTGTGTGTGTGTGTGTAGTTTTACCCTTTCAAAAGTCTTGTAAATGTATCCAACACTTTTAAAACATATGGGCAATGAAAAAGCCATGAAAGGGGAGAAAAGTAACTGGGAGATTGATTTGCCCCAAAAGCAATATAACATGATGCCTGCCAAGAAATAAAGCATAGTCTTGTGGGCTATAAGAATCCCTGTGAATTAAATGTTTCAATATTATTGAAATTGAATCAATGAAGTCATTAAAAATTTTTATATAATAATGACAGCTAACAAATGATATTATGCTTGAAATGACTACAAATTGAGCTTTTCTTTCAAGCTGGGTATATGTTTCGTATACTAACCATTTTCCCCTTCACTGTCATACTAAGCAAGCTCTGAGATTTTTAGCTGGACATGTCACTAAATTCCAGCTCATGGAATAAGAGGAAGGTATGTGTGCAACTAACAGGTTGTACCCTTAAGAGCAAAGGGGTATGCCCGTTATTCCCCCTTTCACTTCCCTTTTGTTTGAAGGCAGGTGAGTGGGTGAGCTATCCTGGAACACAGAGATAAAAGCAACATTCTGTGAACAGCAGAGTAGCCAGCTGAAAGAACCTTGAACCTTGAACCTCTGAAACCTTCATAAAGAAAAATCACTGCAGCACACCAGGCTCCCATACAGCTGAATTACATTCTTAGCAATACAATAACGTATTACTGTTACTTTATAACAGTAATGGAGGAGACATTATCTTAATTTGGCCCTGAAGCACCATCGCCACAGCATAGATACAATTTTACTAGCATTTATATGTATTTATACCTTATTTTGATAGCCTACAGAGGAATAAATAATTCTGATACTTGTGCAATAACTGGAATGTTCCACTTTCAAAATGCCTGACTGATTAAACAGTCACAAGACTCAATTATAGGATACCAAAGAAAATATGTTACTGTGAAAGTCATCTGATCTCTGCTTTGACAAAGAACATTTCTTAGGCAGGCATTACTACATTGCCGAACAAGACAAAGTAGAACACACCTGGATTAATACAATGTGCTGAGTGTATGGGTAATTCCAGGATTATCACTTTGCCCAACAACAGGGGCACTTTTGGCATCCTAGGTTGTGAAAATGATGCCACTTGCAATTGTGCATCCCACTGTCTTCACAGTTATATTCTCCTCCTCTGGTGGATTTTAACCAAAAGAATTTGGAAATATTTGTTAGTTAATAAACTAGTGATATTGCTTTGATATTTGGCTCTTCTTTAGCCAAAATAACTTGGTGGCCTCTTTCAGATTCATCTATTAATGCTATGTCAAATTGCTTCATTTTTGACCCACAAAAATAAACTCCTTTGCTGAAATTTCACCATAGTCTGATGATAATTAAAACATCTCTGGTTCATTCGTTGGCTGAGACCAATATGACAGCTCCAATTCTCTGATTTTTTGACAATTTTTAGGCAAAGAGATTATTTTAGTTCATCCTTTTTACTGTTTGATTGACATAGTAACTAACAAGCCAGACAATAGGTTTTGAAATACAGTGTAGCTAGTGATAATTATATTTCTAGTGTCATTCAATTAAATGTATGAAAAATCATTATAAAAATAATGAAGGTACAAAGAATTTTTCAAGAACTCTATTAGAATTAGCATTAATTCAATTAGTGCTTTGCATAAAATCACTAAACGTAGAAGTAACAAAAGGAAAAGTTTATACTTTATTTTATGTCATTATCATAAAAGATAAGTATGGCTCTTTATTCGATTCTCAATATCTATGACATTATGTCCTTTCAATAGATTAAAATTAATGAAGGATTAGTTAGATAACATCTTATAATAACAATAATTAGTACTATTCAAAATAGAAATAAGCATCTTAAAATGTTTTGATCCCTATCAGTGATTTTTCTAATTCAACACTGCATTAGATTTGATTTTAATACTAAAATGTCAAATGTGTTTTCACTGATAGAGTATTCATTCCCCTGTTAAAATTCACTCAGAAAATGTCTTTTGAAGATGTAATATATGTCAGATATTTTTCTGGGCAGTAGGGATTAACAGGGTAATAAATAAAGCAGATAAGTACTTGTTCTATTGGAGTTTGCATTCCAAATACACAACTAATATTTAGTTATGTGTTTAGAATATAATCATCACTAATTGTGCACTATCACAATTGGTAACACATGCAATATTTGATTGTTGATTACAAATTTTAAAGTTCATTGAAATAATAGTTGTGTCTTAGTATGCATAATACTCTGCTTTTATAAATGTATGCAGTTTTATTTTAGATGAAAAGACCCTAAACATTTGATCAAACTCCAATGAACGAAAGTGAACTCTATCTTCCACCCTCTGTGTGCAAGTTAGTGACCAGGAGTTCATCCACTTTTTTAGGCTTCAACATGCCTTTTGAGTTGATTCTCACTGCTAGATCATTCTTCTCTATGTTGAGTCAAAGACTTCTCAGTGACTTCAACCTAGTGACCCTGGTTCTCTTTTCTAGAAAGACACACAAACTAAATCAAATTCTTCTTCTAAATAGTATTTCTTAATATTTTGGCACAATAAACATACCCCCCATTGTTCAAGATTTTTAAAAAACCTGCCTCTTAAAAGATAAAAGTTTGCCATTTGAGTTTTACTTGAGCCTGATAATTACTTTTAGTGGGAAGAAGTAAGAAAATGAATAGCACCATCTGTTGTTGCAAAATGTCACTGCAGACTCCTAAATAAGTGTTAACACCTAGGGAGAATCTGTCCTACTTTCAGCTTGCCAGTACTATTACTGACATTTACTATGAGAGATGTGTGCTGTATGAGTGGGTGCACTTTTTGGATCACAACTTAATTCTTATTAACCTGTCTAAGAACTAAGGATTATTGTCCCAATGTCTTGATGGGGCATCAAATCTTAAAGAAACACTTAACAAGTCCTAAGCAAAGTTTACTATGTGCACTTGAGGTTGCCTTGCTCATCCAATAATCATTTAATTAATGTTATTCTATAATTGTTGTACACTTTTGCTAAGAATAATGGAATAAGGGAAATTATACACTGTTAATTGGCAAATTTTATGATATAGGAATTATATTGCAATAAAGCTGATTTTAAAAAGTATACTGGAGAGTGAGAGGGAAGTGGAATGACAGATATTGAGAAGCAAATCATCAAAGAGGCCAAACAACACATTGGGGAAAAAAAGAGACAGTACAGGTGGTGTTTCTGCAAATGCATATGGGGAGTATAGATGTTAACAAGATGGGGCAGCAAACAGCGGTGGTGTTGAGGGCTAGAAATGGGGCATCCAGAGGGGCAGTAGATGCAGAAGTATAAGCTCTAAATAACAGCAGTGGTAGTGGAATCAGTAGAAACAGGAGTGCTGGCTGCAGTTGTAGTTTCAATAGAAGTGGTAGTGCTGGTTAGTGTGATTGTCATCTCAGTAGAAGTTTCTGTAGTCATTCTGGTAGTTGGTTCAAGTGAAGTGGCTGTTGTGGTTCTGGGTTCAGTAGAAGTAGTAGTGGTGGCTGATGTGGTTGTGGATTCAGAAGTGGTAGTGGTGGCTGGTGTGGTTGTAGCTTCAGTGGAAGTGCCCGCAGTTGTGGTTCTTGGTTCAGGTGAAGTGGCTGTTGTGGTTGTGGATTCAATAGAAGCCATAGTGGTAGCTGATGTGGTTGTAGCTTCAGTGGAAGTGCCTGCAGTTGTGGTAGTTGTTTCAGGTGAAGTGGCTTGTTGTGGTTGTGGATTGAGTAGAAGTGGTAGGGGTGGCCTGTGTGGTTGTAGCTTCCATGGAAGTGCCTGCAGTCATTGTAGTAGTTGATCAGGAGTAGTGGCTGTTGTGGTTGTGGGTTCAGTAGAAGTGGTAGTGGTGGTTGATGTTGTTGTAGCTTCAGTGGAAGTGCCTGCCGTTGTGGTAGTTGGTTCAGGTGAAGTGGCTGTTGTGGTTGTGGATTCAGTAGAAGTAGTAGTGGTGGCTTGTGTGGTTGTAGCTTCAGTGGAAGTTCCTGCAGTCATTGTGGTAGTTCATTCAGGAGTACTGGCTGTTGTGGTTGTGGATTCAGTAGAAGCGGTAGTGGTGGCTTGTGTGGTTGTAGCTTCAGTGGAAGTGCCCGCAGTTGAGGTTGTTGGTTCAGGTGAAGTGACTGTTGTGGTTGTGGATTCAGTAGAAGTGGTAGTGGTGGCCTGTGTGGTTGTAGCTTCCATGGAAGTGCCTGCAGTCATTGCAGTAGTTGGTTCAGGAGTAGTGGCTGTTGTGGTTGTGGGTTCAGTAGAAGTGGTAGTGGTGGCTTGTGTGGTTGTAGCTTCAGTGGTAGTGCCTGCAGTCATTGTGGTAGTTGATTCAGGAGTAGTGGCTGTTGTGGTTGTGGATTCAGTAGAAGTGGTAGTGGTGGCTAATGTGGTTGTAGCTTCAGTGGAGGTGCCTGCAGTTGTGGTAGTTGGTTCAGGTGAAGTGGCTGTTGTGGTTGTGGATTCAGTAGAAGCGGTAGTGGTGGCTAATGTGGTTGTAGCTTCAGTGGAGGTGCCTGCAGTTGTGGTAGTTATTTCAGGTGAAGTGGTTGTTGTGGTTGTGGATTCAGTAGAAGTGGTACTGGTGGCTTGTGTGGTTGTAGCTTCAGTGGAAGTGCCCACAGTTGAGGTTGTTGGTTCAGGTGAAGTGGCTGTTGTGGTTGTGGATTCAGTAGAATTGGTAGTGGTGGCTGATGTGGCTGTAGCTTCAGTGGAAGTACCTGCAGTTGTTGTGGTAGTTGGTTCAGGTGAAGTGGCTGTTGTGGTTGTGGATTCAGTAGAAGTGGTAGTGGTGGCTTGTGTGGTTGTAGCTTCAGTGGAAGAGCCCGGAGTCATTGTGGTAGTTGATTCAAGAGAAGTGCTTGTTGTGGTTGTGGGTTCAGTAGAAGCGGTAGTGGTTGCTGATGTGGTTGTAGCTTCAGTGGAAGTGCCTGCAGTTGTGGTACTTGTTTCAGGTGAAGTGGCTGTTGTGGTTGTGGGTTCAGTAGAAGTGGTAGTGGTTGCTGATGTGCTTGTAGCTTCAGTGGAAGTGCCCGCAGTTGTGGTTGTTGGTTCAGGTGAAGTGGCTGTTGTGGTTGTGGATTCAGTAGAAGCAGTAGTGGTGGCTGATGTGGCTGTAGCTTCAGTGGAAGTGCCTGCAGTTGTGGTAGTTGATTCAGGTGAAGTGGCTGTTGTGGTTGTGGATTCAGTAGAAGAAGTAGTGGTAGCTGGTGTGGTTGTAGCTTCAGTGGAAGTGCCCGTAGTCATTGTGGTAGTTGGTTCAGGTGAAGTGGATGTTGTGGTTGTGGATTCAGTAGAAGTGGTAGTGGTGACTGATGTGGTTGTAGCTTCAGTGGAAGTGCCTGCAGTCATTGTGGTAGTGGATTGAAGAGTAGTGACTGTTGTGGTTGTGGATTCAGTAGAAGCGGTAGTGGTGGCTTGTGTGGTTGTAGCTTCAGTGGAAGTGCCCGAAGTTGTGGTTGTTGGTTCAGGTGAAGTGGCTGTTGTGGTTGTGGATTCAGTAGAATCGGTAGTGGTGGCTGATGTGGCTATAGCTTCAGTGGAAGTGCCTGCAGTTGTGGTAGTTGTTTCAGGTGAAGTGGCTGTTGTGGTTGTGG